ATTCGAACCCGCGACCCTCAGATTGCGAGTCGAGCGCCTTAACCACCTGGCCATGCCGGGCTTCTGTCGTAGTCTAGTCACATATCCTGTAAGGACAGTATGAACCTGCCTTTTGATAAACTTTATATATGGTAACTGATATAAAAACAATATGCAATTGAGGAAAGAAAATGTTTATAATAGCATTAACCTTTTGCCTGAAAAATGTGCCTCTTTACATAGAACCTTGAGAATCCCCCAGTTCCTGTGAACCTTGAGTATCCCCCAGCTCCTGTGTGTAGATAAATGAGAGCTTAGATCTAATATGGATCTTGAAAAACCTATTTTCTTAATGTTGTAGATAACAATAGTTAAATGGATTCATAACCCGCAGGAAGGAATGTATCTCATGTAGACTCTTATGGCTTTTCTTGACAAAACAGTATAGAGACTAGGTTAGTTCATATGCGTTTTATTAGGTGGTCCATGGTGGACATGTTCCTGTGAAAGCCATATTAGGTTTTGTACAGTAGATTATTTGATACTAAGAACTAAACAAGTTAGTCATATTCTCTAACATCTTCAAAAGACATCTATTCAAAGCAATATCCTATAATTATGGAATATCATGGGATCTGTCTCTGGCTAGAAAAAGGGTTGACAATAACCTAACACCATGATTCAGGAATGTTTCCTTTTGCCAGACACAACAGACAAGGCAGGAGAGAAGGAGAGATTGTACCCTGTCTCATAGTGAACACCATCTAATTCAACAGATGTATTGCCAGACTGGTTTAGTTTTGATTGACATTCTACCTACATAAATAAAGAGTTATAAACATTCTAGCCATCAGATTAAATTGAAAGAATGGTTTGTCTCGTATATGAGATGTCAAGAATTCAGGCAGTTGGAAGAGATATAATGCTGAGAGGAAAGTTTTAAAGGGTGTTTGCAGTACAAACAAGATCAACCAACACTTGTACATTAGGCTTCAAGATAGGAAAGGAATGAATTATATGCAACCTGTTCACCTTCCTTGTCTTGTCCCATTTTCACTTAAACCTGGTTGCTGCTATCACAAATGTCAGTTCGATAATTTTCATTCGGATGAACTCTAAAAAAATTTTATTTTGATTGTAAGATATTCTTCCGCTCATGACTTGTTCTTTTCCTCCTTGTATAACTTGGCATTTTTTTTATTTGTATTATCTATAGCATCTAATATATTGTTAGCTACTATAAAGCAACGCTATCCTCTGGTCAAGAGGTTTTTGTTTCATGAGCTTCTATTTTATTATCTTTACTCTACTAAACCATTAACCATATCATTTTGTTTGCTAGACTTTATATCGATTTCGCTTGAACTATTTTATTATAACAAAGCTCTTTTGTTCAAAGCATGAAGAAACATTCTTAAACTAATTAAGTGTACAATGAAGCAGAACCATTTTAATATATTTGTAGCAGGAACAGTGCCAGCTCTACCTTTCATGATCTTGGTATCCTGGATAATATGTTGAAAAACTACGACAGGCGGGCCCTTCCAACAAGTCATTTGGGTGAGTCTTATCTTGTACATTTTTGTTTTGTGAGATTTCTTTAAAGATTTACTCGGGGAGCAGACGTCGAAGACATTTCTCTCGTACTCAACATATTTTACTTATAGTAAGAAACTTGTGTTTGTTAAAATACTTAAGATATTAATATATATATATCAGCTGAATATACACATATACAAAAAAGCAGAGTCTGATTTTAATCTATTTAACGGATGTTTCTGTGTTCAATTCAACTCGATAACTTATATTAACACTAAAAATATTTTATCCAAGAACGCAGGCATAAATTCTTTCGGCAGCAGAAAATATATTTTCCTGTTTCCTAATTAGGTAGTCCTACAGTGGTCTCCTGTGAAATTTATATACGGAGTTTTGGATCGATTAATCCAGAGACTATGGTAAATATATACGACTTAATTATGAATTTTATTTTATTATGGTTAGTTGTGTGTGTGTGTGTGTGTGTGAAGAAGAAGAATAAAAAACTAAAACCTGGTGGAACTGAAACCCGAGATCTTATTTGCAGGGGAGAAGTTTTATTTATTTATTTTTTGTTTGTTTGGAATTAAGTACAAAGCTACACAATGGGCTATCTGTGCTCTGCCCACCACGGGTGTCAAAACCCGGTTTTTAGCGTTGTAGTTCCGCTGTGCTACTGGGGAACCAGGGGAGAAGTCCTAATCAACTTAATTACTGCACCTAGAACACTTCAGGTCCCAATTTTAAGTTCATTAGCTATTAAGGACAGAAGCTGAGAAAATTCTTGGGCTATGCCAAACGGTTCGTAAAATTCAGAATCTGTTTATCATTTTTTTGAATGGTTGATTGATTGTTTGTAAGTAAGCACAAAGCTACACAATGAGCTATCTGTGCTCTGCCTACAACGGGTATCGAAACCCGGTTTCGTCTGGGGGCATTTTGAATGGTAATACAGATTTTAATAATTCAAAAAATGCTGTACTTAAATCACTTAAAATCAGTACTTCCGATTAAAGATGGAAATGAATGGCGTCAGAGTACATTATTACCATTTATGAAATTATTTATTTAATCTTATTATCACAATTTCAAGTCGGGCCTTATATTGTAAAAACTAAAAGAGGTAGAGAATAAAAACACCGAAAAAGCGGGACACATCAATATTTCCAGATAACGTTAAACAGCTGCTTCAAACTCTCCTTGGTTAACGTAATATCTTAAATTGTTATATTTGCTTTTCTTTTTAAAAGCGTTTCTTGTTCTGAAAGGTCAAAAGTTCCTGAGATGTCAGAAGTGTAAAAATCATACATAATTAGGTGTCGTCGTTGCTGACTGATGAGTTGACCAAGTAATTACGTTATTTTCTTATTAAAAACAAAACTATTAACATCAATGGATTACAGAACGTTTAAAATTAATGTGTCGTCCTGATAGAAATAAAATCAAATAGTTATCCTTTAAATTTTGTAACGGGCTACTTTCTTCTACCTTAGAAAAAGTACTAATGTGTGAAAAATATAAATGTGTCTAATATAGTATCTATATTGAGGCATTTACCAAAAAAATCATTTTTTAATTCGACTTTAGAATAACGTGATTATGATAAAACGTACAGTTGTGTACGTGTGAAATATTTTCAGCCATGCAATAAACATGAAACTAAAATCAAAATTAAAGTTCTGCATTAGTTTGCAACAAACAGTTGAATGTGAACTTGTTATTTACTACTTCAAAAGTTTTTAAAATAATTCCAGAAATTATGTTCAGCTCTCAAACACTGTGTTACATGAAAAAAATTATTTAATCATATTCTTAAATCAAAACTTTAAGATGGATACATCTTTTAAAGATTGTTGTATATGGTTATAACGTATATCTTTACACTTGTTTCAATATCATATAAACATATTGCATTTTTTCCATAATAGTAATATCTTAATAGAGTTCATTTAAAAGCTAATCTTTACGTAATTCAAACAATATGTTTCCATGGTGATTAAGATCCCAATAAGAGATTAAAGTGAGATATTAAAAAGTGCATCCATGGTTGTAAATGAAAAGATATAAGGAAAGTGTACAAAAAGTTTAGAAAACAGAAAAAGTGTTTTTCTACACGAACACTGATTATGTATAAAATTATCTCTCAAACACTTAGCTAAAAATGAGCTTTCTGACGTGGCTCCAAGGGTCAACCATACTCTAACGTAACAGCAGTATTAAGTTAGGGTTAAGACCTTTCGAATTCGAAAGCCTAGACTTGAGTCATGTCCTACAGATCTATAAAGCTAAGTCGTTAAATGTTAAATAAAATCACAAGACTTAACTCGACTTAATGAATTACTTCTTGCTTGCAACAAACATGGACAGCTAATAAATACTGAACAGCTTTCTAAGCATTTTACTTCAATCATATCTGCATTCGAACTATAAAATATGTTAATCCTGAAATTTCTGACTTGTTCTGTGCCCGGCATGGCCAGGTGGATAAGGCGCTCGACTCAC